TGCAATCAATCCGCCGATTTTGTAGTCCATCCTCCTTTGGGAGACATTGTAAGGAGATTTCTTGGTAGCAAAGGTGTACAAGAGGCACCATTTGGAAGGGGAAGGAAAAACAGTGACGGGTCAGAAGTAATTTTAGTACCTTCAGAGTAATCACATCGTTCTTGGGATTGATTCCTAGTAAGTGTATTCAAATAATTACAAAATTACTCCAAAAAGTAATCGATTAGAAGTAATGTGATTACTTGTATTGAATACCGTAAGAGTCTCCTATATGCGTTCAGATATCTTGCTTCGTGTATGGTGCTTCGGCGTTCTTGTCGAAGAATGGAACCTTTTCGATGTTGCGAAAGTATGCATATATTATGCGCAGCCGCCATTAGTTGGTCTCAGTGCTTCCGGCTTTAAGTACGTGATTGGTTCCGAGTCCGCGCCGAGCACTGACGCAGCACTCGTGTGGAATGCGTTATGCACTCGGAATGTTGACGAAGCGCTCGTGTCCAATGCGTGCTCACTGTGCGTAACCAACGAATGGCGGCTGCACATAATATACGAATCGTTTCGGAATTCTGAAAAAGGGTCTAGATGCCCGGGTCACGACATGACCAACGTTTCTTAAATTGTCCGTGACTATAATAGATTGTCAGCTCACAATCGCAGTATTGCTCTGATGACCGTTTTTATCAGGTATAATTTTTTACTACACCATCAAATCTTTGTTTTCGTCTGCACTGACTGCCAAAATACATCTCTTGCTTCTGACAGCCTACAAAAATGCAGAATGTGAGGGAAAATATTCGACGATCATATATTCAGTCGACTTCGACGAGATTCAAATTTCAAACCTTGAAGACAATGCCGCCCAGGCAGCGTATGCACACATTGCATATATATAAAAAAAAAAGTAAATATATATTGATTTTTTTTTCCTTTTTCATTTGCGCCAAAATTTAAATTAACAAATTGCACACGGGGTTACCGCGCTGTGCTGTTTTTGTAGTGTGTTGTATTAAGGCGTTGCGCAGCCCAAAGTCCGCGTCTTCGGCTTTTCTCCCCCCCCCCCCCCCCCCCCCCATCTCAAGAACTTTATCATAAAGAAGTTAGCGCATGAATAAATAAGCACACGGGCACATCACGAAATGGGGCACCTGTCAGCCAGCCAGCCATGCCGCGACTGCATTCCATTATTCGCGGAATATCGCGGCTCCTCTCATCGCATCTCTGAGCGTCCATACTCTGGAATGCGCCACCGGATCGCGGCTTCCGAATACGCGAATACCGCAAACGTTGTTTTGGCCAGGCTTGCAGTTTCTCCATTTACTGGGTGACAGAGGGGGAGGGGGGACTCGATATGACGGATGGCTCTCGACGGTAACCGCAAACCAAACACACCCGTCGGAGCACCGGTGCCCACTCGAGGGCACAATCCCGTTTCATCCTACGGTGGACTGCCACAGACACCATACCAACCATACCAGCCAGTCAAGCGCTTCGAAGCGTGTGCAGTCGCTGTTCGCCTCGCAAATGTCACGTGATACTGCCACGGCTTCGGATTGGCTTTCCATGGCTCCTAGCACCGGCTGCGGTCCATCGTAAGGTGAAATGGAGTATAGAAGCGCGCGATGGGAATAAGAAGGATGCGGTCCGGTATGGGGAATCTGGACCCCCATCTACTCTTTTTCGCCTTACAATGGGGCGGGGAGGACGGTACCTGTCATCCCGGCCTATCCAGCGCTGCGAATATTTCACGAGAATATACGCGCGCAGCGGGTCGTTGTTCTTCTTGCGAATGTCACGTGACACTGGCGCGGCGTTTGGTTGTCTTCGACGGCTCTGTAGCGTGCTCCGCGGTCCATCGTTGGGGGAAAGGGAGCATGCGATGCAGGGCATTCCATTCCCCGCACGTTCGATGTGAAAGCGCTATTTATAGATCTTCGGAGACCGATGTCTGCGCCAGCTCCTCCCTCTTAGAACCCATGGCCAGGGTTCGTTTTTCATCTGGTTTATGGCTCACCGACGTTAAGGGATACGTGTGGCCAGCGCTTGACTGTCAGTGACGTATTAGATGTTTACACTGTAGTAGGTTGAGAAAAGAAGGAAGGACCTACTTAGCCCTCTACGCTTTGCACCCTACGAGAGTGAACGTTGGAGAGGAAGGAAGGGAGGCGAGCAGAGATATTTATGGAGTCGGTAACACGTTAATAGAGTGGAAAGAGGGCGGAGGAGGTTGCAGTTGCTCTTAACCTTTAACCGAATGCAGGATGGGCTTAATAGGGTTGATTTTCGTAACCTGCAACCTATAGTTGAAGAACGTAGCAAAGATGTTTGTATAACTTTTATTATTCTTTTTTTTTTAATCGGAGATAGCTAAAGATGGTTTCGAAAATCGAAATACGCACCCTACCCAGATGGAGTTTGAAAATAACTGCTTAAAGAAATTAAAAAAAAAAAAAAAAAATCAAGCAACGTCAGGGCTTGACTTTTTGTAAGGCTTGTTAGTGAAACGTTGGGAACCACTTTGAAGTTTCCTTGAGGTTTGTTTAGAGACTGTAACGTGAAACAGGGTCATTCAGCTTTTGATTGCTGTCATAACTAAATGTGGCCTCGCTTTCGTAAACATTGAAGTTATTTTTAATAGATTAAGTAAAACCAGAATTAAGGTATTAAGGACGAAGCACTGACCTATACTATTTTCTAATGAAAGCATGTCTAATATCGTCTGATAAATTATCCAAGAAGAAAAACATTGTGGGAAATCAGACTGCGGGTGACGGAGCAATTAAACAAAACGGACAATGCCAACTTCTGTGGTTTTGTTAATGAACTGGTTTAGGACTGTCACAATGCTGACAACTCGCAAACTCGCTATTGTTTCTAAAGTGACGGTAACAATATTTCCTTACATTTGGAGGACGGTAACGAATCTCTGGAACGCGTTAAAAACTAACCGGCAACGCTATTTCGTTGCTTATTTTTAGTAACGGGCGGAATACTTTCTTACATTCAATTATCCGGTGGTCATAGTGTCCGCGGTTAACTAAATTCTAAAAAACAAAAACACACTACTAAAAAACAAACATCGGGGAACTTGCGATGGTTTCCGTTTGTATATCTCTTGGAAGCGCGTCAGTGATTTTCGCCCGCGGTGGAGACGACATTTTATCATCGAAACGCAACACCAAGGACACGAAAACCGGACGCGTGATTGCATACCCCACTCTTGGCAAACGGCTGTTGCAATAAACAGCGCTACTGCATTATAAAGAACTACCGTTTATCTTTTCTTAAAGTTTGAGGAAAGGCGTTTGAAATTATTTGTTTTCGATGGCTGTCGTGCAAGGGTCCTGTCTCTGACGCTCCCAGTAAATAACTGGCGACAACAGTCGTATAGAGCGTTTATTAAGGAAGAAATCAACAGACCTAGAAGAGCGGCATCCAATGGTCGCCCAGTTTTGTAAAGCAGCAAATGATATAATCCTGCTCCATGTTAGACTACGATTAAAAACCTAGACACCATTTGGATCTAAACACAGGATACTGAACGAAATACAAGCTGTGAACAAAACAATAAGCAAACTATATGCATCTAACATTCGAAAACTGGCGCATGTTGGGCAACATAGGTAGCAATGACGCACACAGAGAAGTACCCATTGGGGATGCAACATGCTATCACACTGCCAATATGAGCGCCAATCTCATGGAAGGTAAATCTCACTGAATCGTTTTCGCTCCGTAACAGGGTAGACGCTATACCGTTGCATACGTTTTCCTCATCAAACAATATTTGTGCCAAAATTGATAGAGCTTTCTTGACGCCAGCTTTTTATTGCTTTGAACGATAGTTCTTTACACACGCCCATTCGCATTCTTCTATTTGTTTAAAAAAATAAAAACAGAAAACCCTACAGTCTTTGACGATCGTTTGCTCCATTAGCTTTTACCGATACAATGGTGCCCGTATCTATTTGATTATTTGGTTGGCTTCGAGACAGGGTCAAATTTAGCTGGGTATTTTTTAGTGTTACCTTTATTGTGGATTCTGCAAGGCCACTGTTGCGGGTTAGAAGTTGAAGCCATATTGGCTAAATGAGCCAACCTCAGAAAGCCGACTCGCATTACGAGTGTGCATATCAATCAATCAATGACTCAATTAATCACAGCTTTATTGTGTTTCCCAAACAGCTTTAGGGGCCTTTTTTAGGGTTACACTTGACATAATAAAACAACACTGAACTAAACAAACTACAACACAATCCTGACAACTATACCATAGAACCTTTACATCTGTAGAGATTCTTTAGGTCTGCAGTGAAACTTAATAAATGGTGATACAATATGAGTCGTCAAGATGGTGGTAATTAAAATTACGCGGGAACATGAAATACGTGTTCAAATAAAATTAGACCTTTTTTATTTTATTTTTCTCTTTCTGTGTCTCGTTCGATGCGCTACTTGATGTTCAATATTTATTTTGTGTGTTCTTTTACTCGGTATAGAGAACTTGAATTGAAAGTCGATTAACTCTCTGTATCTCTGTATCTCAATTCTTGAAGTAAATGGATTTGCAAATCGGCAGTGAGCATCAAAACTGCCCCCCCCCCCCCCCCCCCCAAACATTAATTCGAACGGTTAGACGGTGACGCTGAGGCGTTAGCGAAATTGGGGAGCTCGCGGTGGAGGCGCGACTACGGGAGAACCTTCCTGTCGCTCAAATCCAGTTCGAGACTATCGTGCTTAACAGAAAACATAGCTTTGAAAATGAGCCGAGAGATGGGAAAGACACTTTAGGGATGGTGCTGTGATGTCTTTAGATGACTTACATCAACGTCTCACATGCAGACTACCATCTATTCACCTTTACTTCACTATCTGTCTCTAAACGATTCTCTTTCTCGAAGTATTCCGGTTTAGCGAAACTTCGGAACAAACAGGGCGCAACTTGCGGCTCGGTCCGGCCTCGAGGAGCTCGTGTCGAAATGAAGCAACACGCCCGCCTACACGAACAGATATGACGCGCGTCGTCCACGCTATCACGTCTCCTGCTCTCAAGGCAAGAGTTCGTATGTGAAGCAAGCGGTTGGATTTCGCGTTCCCTGCGACACACGGCGGCGACGTAAATGCGTTTTCTCACACGTTCACGCTGAAAGGATACAGCCCGGTGATTTCCGAACAAGCAGCTATAAGCTAACAGCACCGCTTAACACGACAAATCAACGTTTGCGTCGAGATCACAGTTCGGCTTTTTATCGGATTCACAAAGGTAAGTCATTGGAACCTTACCTTCGTGTTTATATAAACGCACAAACAAGGAACGTCATTGGGTAATAATGGTCGTTGGGTCACGCTCAACACGTTATTTTTAGCGTCTTCGCTTCTTAAGCGCTTTCCGTAGATTCCAGTGAGTGGCTTCTTAGAGTGCTTCGCGGGGAAGTAGGCGCTTCAGATTTCTCGAAGTGTATACTTCTGCGCAGAGATAGAACGCTGCCATCTTGAAGGGCGTCTTCTTCATATGTGATGTCGCCAAACTGAACTAAACATTGCGGTATCCCGTGCTTAATCGACACTTAGTAGAACCTGCTTTAAGATATAAAGAGACCCCGAGAAAACAGAACCATGTTTTTTTTTGTTTTTTTTTTTATCCCCGATAGATCAACTATGTATCGCAGAAACCTCAGACTACGACAGAATGTGAAGCAAGCGGATGGAATAGAACTCCAATCTTTAAGAAGATGACGCTGCCTGAATTAAAGCATAATTAAGAAAACTTGTCTATGAGCCGACGTCTTCCTAACCCTAATGTCGCCAAAAACAAGAGATGGCATAGTGAACGCTCGTGGGATTTATATCAGTGAAAAACGCTTGTCAACAAGAAAGAAGATATCGTCTTTTTCTTTTTTGTTCCTGATAATCTTGTTTCATTGAAATAACGCTGCAGACGTCCCACTGACATTTTCCATTGGTTTTGGTTAGACGAAATTAGGCTTAGTTGGGCGTCGGCTTCACAATAGGGAAAGCTCGGCTTCCCTCAACTATCTTTTGATCCTGGAAACGTCCGGTTCTGAGATGCATATGGTTTATTTACCCGGCCCGAAAAGAAACACGCTTTTCTCTTGTCGGGAACCCCCCCTGCATAAACATTGCCGATGTGTTTGCTAAAAGTAACTGACAGCTTCAAAAACTCGGAGGCGTGTCCCATAAAGTTCACGCCTCCCTCCTTCGTGATCCGTCTAAATGGCGTTCTTAGTAACTCATGTCACAGTTCCATTGACGGCTGGCGGGTCGATGATAGGATACCGAGGACCAGCCGCACCACCGCGTTTCTAGAGCCGTTGCCACACTGCATATTCGTCTCACAGAAGACAGTCTCCAGACCCTGTCTGATGCAAGTTTCTTTCTTGTATGACAGATCCTGTCACTTTGGTCATACAAAAAGAGTCTGCATACCATGTTCAAACCATGTATGAAGCAAACTTGAAGCGTGTCCGCATATACTTCTGACATAATGTCTGCAGGAAACTCCGTATCTTTTGTGTGATGTAGGTGCAGTGCGACAGCGGCTTTAAGCTGCCACTATACGGAGCGCAAGTCCATCTGCTTCTATTGCAGGGGTTGTGATGACGTCGGAACGCCGAGCGCTCTGATTGGTTCTGATTGAAGGGTAAGGGTGGGTAGACCTCGAGGTAGCTTGCTTTGATGTCTACCCACCACTATCCTTCAATCGGAGCCAATCATACCTCAGTGTTATTCTAACCCCACCAAAACCCCTGCAAAAAGAAAAAACAAAAAGCAGACGAACTTGCGTTTCACGTAGCTTTTTTTTCGAAGGACGTCGAATGTCATTGTGAGACTTGCAAAGGGTTTATTTTTGAAGTCATTAGGGAGTTTTCGTAAACCCCTTTTCCCCCTCCGCTAAGCCCTCCACAACGAAGACGCCGCTACTGAGCATGCGCGCTGATGGCTTTGACTGTAGAGTTCAGGGTGTCGCAGCGCGTTGCGGAGAGTTCTTGCGGGACGGCGATGACGATCTACGCAAACTCTCAAATGAATAACCATAGTCATTGATAGGGGGGGAGGGGGGAGAGTGACACCTATAAAGAGGGGCACGCAGATCCACCGCACCGTACCACTGCCGCAGCAGCGCCACGAACGGCGACGCTGGTATTATGGTGCATGTAAACGCAACGTCTGTTCTTACTTTTTTTTTTTCTGTGCTATCGCCGCGCTATTGTCTTCCAGCGGTCGTTTTTTTCGATCTCACGCCGAAGTAAATCTGTCCTTTTATATCTGGAGTCCTAGGTGCGATTTGTACGTTGCCCTTTTTCACTGTTTCACGTGATTCAACTAGCAGCGCTTGCTCAACGCTCGGATCATGATCTAGCAGTGGATAGCGGCAACAGCGTTAACTTATCGCTATCTTCTTCGTGCATTTGTACTCGACAATGTGTTCGACAATGGTCCGTTAACGTACTATGACGACATTCATCGTTGTCGGTGATTAAAAAAAATTGACATGTTTACGTAGGTTTCGCTCCCCATTTTATCCAATTACTCTTCTCTTGCTGGTCGAGGAGTGATATGATCGCGGCTCTGTTCAACGGTGTTTCCCCGTCTCTAGTTAGCGCAGACTGGGACCCCCAGTTTTGTTCAAAGTGAAACTCGGGTAAGCTTACGTTGTTAGTCGTAGATTACACTACGACTAACAATATTGCTGTTCTCCGTAGGACACAGGATGTGCATGCAACATGACTCTGCAAGAAGCCGCATCGCGACGCCACGGCCTTGTCGCACGCTTTGCATAACATTGTTTAAACGCATGCAGTGTTGACAGATAGTTTTCGTTTGATTAGCTGGGACCAGAATAACTGGCATGTGTCATTTGTTTCAGGTTTCATAAGTTGGGAATAAATAAGTACAATAATCTGTGTATGCACTTTTCGGTCATTTATAGGGAAATCCGAAACTCTGTGAACAGGAAACTTATGTCCGCAAGTTACGAAAGTTGTAAAGCTATATTATTTTCCTTTTTTTTTTTTTTTTTTTTAAGAAAAGCTCATCAAAGTTTTTTTTGGTCCGATTGGATATTTTACACGCTGTTCCAGGTACAAGAACTCAAAGACACTTTGAAGAATTTTAAACGAGGGCCATGTGGAAGATTCTCGCAGTCTTCTGCGCACTTTGCGGCGCTGTCGCCGCTCAAGACATTAATTCCAGCGAGACCGGTAAGAATACTTGCTCTAGAAGTAAAACAAAACATTTTTTCTGGAATCACTAGGTAATATCTTTAGACGAAAAGTCACCGGGGTTTTGCTGTAGGCTCAAAAATTAAGTGCTATTTTCAGGCAATGGGCAGTCAGTCAATGCCTATTATGTTCGGTTCAACCGGAACGGAGGTTTCGAGCACCTGGTCAAAACTTTGGAAAATCTGGCCCCGCGTCCAAACGCGTCTATTAATGCAGTTTATATGCTTAATGGCGTACACTGAATTATGTCAATATTCTATTTCAGTAGCACGGATAAAATAGAATACTGGAAACCATCACGTGACGGGCGATGACAAAACGTGAGCCAGGTGGCTTTCAGGGACCAAGAAATACCAAAAGCACGCGCCAAGTATTTGCGATAATCAGGGTATATACGGGGCGGTAGTACTCAAGAAATAAAGGCCTCCGAGAAAATCTACTTAAAATGGACATCTGGTGCTCGACACAATTTGTGAAAACACAGGTTATGTGTTTTTTCGCAATTTTCTTAGTATGGTGTTGATATATTCCAAATTTTATACTATTACTGATTTTCCAGGACGCGCCTATTAACTAGCGGTGCTCTATTAACCCTATAGCGTTTAGGAGCTCGTGTTGCAGAAAAGCCGGCGTCGGCGTCGGCGTTGGCGGGACTATAAAATCTCAAAATGCAACGCGCGCAGCCATGTGTGACGTCACACCTGACGCCAAGCGTGTGGCGTTGCACGTGGCTTTGACGTCATGACCCCATCGACTCACTAAATTTGGCGAAAAAGTTTCCCTTAAAATGTATCAAGAATTTTCACGCCAAATTTATCGGAAAAGTTTGCCCGCCAAATTAACCGGAAAAAGTTTCTTGCCAAATTTAGCGAAACATTTCCAGCAAATTTTAGCGGAAAGTTTTCCCGTCGTATTTTGCAAAGAATATTCCACTAAATTTAGCGGGTCAATAGAGTCATGACGTCCCAACCAGGTGTGACGTCAGGCGTCACGTGACGAGACGTCACACGTGACGCTACCGACTAGTCCACGAACACACCCTTGCGCGGCTTTGGAACTGGCGCGGATTTATATGAGGAGGCTTTCTGAACGGGGCCCGATAACACTATCGCGTTCCCCTCTTAAAGACGAAGCTTAAGAGTCCCCCAAGTTTTCTTTTTTTTTCTATAGCAACCCCTCACTTGCAACGAGCTGACAGGAAATGAACCCACGATTCCTTGGTCGTACTGATAGTGTCGCGCTCCACACCTGGTTTACTTTAGGTTATCGTAGTATTTTTCATTTCAAACGTTTTGAGAGATGGATGACTCGTATATATTATATCAAACTAAGTTATAGTCGATATTTTAAAATTAAAAAAAAAAGAAGGCTGCGCAGGTGATTGTCACACATTGGGTACCACGATCCCTCAAAGTCTTTGAAAATTGGCTGTGGCGCCTGATGTTATTCATTGGGGTATCCTGTGACTTTTTTTTATACATATATCTGCATTACTATCATATCGCTCTAATTACAACTCCCACCCACACACGTTTTTTTCCTCTTATCTTAATTTCATTCTTAAGACAAAATATGCACACGGCTGCACTTCATCCGGAGCTCATATTTTTTTCCTGTTTTCCTAAACAAAGACTGGTAAGACATGGGAAATTTAGTTTTCACGTGTTCCCTTCTGTTGGCCTATACTCGCACTGCTCACGCATCATAAAGCACAAAGTTCTCCGCAGACATGGTGACAGATATTGTCCGCGGACACGCCTCGAGAATGTTCAAAGTATGTTTTCATATTTATGATCCGAACACATCTGGAAACAGTGACTGCAGAGCGTTTTTCGATGTACTGCGTCCGCTGTGTGACGCGGTTTTACTAATTCTCTCTAGGAAACTTTTTCGAACAAGAGTTTCACCCTTTTTGTTCATCGAACTTATATTTTCGTTTTTTTTCTACAGTTACTACTTCTAGTCTCCGGGAGACGCTCTACAACACTTTCATCAACACGGTCTTCGACAAGGTCCTCTCATCTGTCGCCAAGTCCAAGGCCATCGATCCGGTGACCTTGCCGAACATCAGCTACGCCTTCGAGACCAAGATCATCGTGAAGATCACCGCGGAGGCCGCCCTCTACCGCGGAATCCTGGAGGGTTTGTCCAGCCTGACCAGAACGGGCAACTGCCGTTTCGAGGTCGGGGAACGCGGCATCGACATCAAGGCGGACGTGGGCGCGGGGCCCCTGAACTCCAGCTTCGTGGGACTCGCACGCGCCATGGGCTACGGCCAGGCGGTTACGGTGGACGTCAACATCCGATACCTTCAGATACTTCTTGGACTTGCTCAGTAGGTCGACAGTTTCCACGACTTGATATTTCAGTATGAGAGAAGCTGCTATATGGCAACTCTTTACGATCTAAGAAATTTGTAACGTCTACCCTATTGAAAATTCTCATTTGTATGAGAAATTTCCGTGTCCAATAAACACATATGAATCATACAAGATATATAAGAACATATAAGGACCGTATAAGAACCATATAAGAGCTATATAAGATATATGAGAACATACAAGCACCATATAAGAAAGTAGTGGGAAGTTTCTTATAAGTTTCTTATGGGGTTCTTAACTTCTTATATATCTTATATAATTCTTAGATAGCTCTCATATCATTCTTATATGGTTCTTATATGTTCTTATATTCTCTTATATGTTCTCATATCTCTTGTATGATTCATATGTGTTCATTGGACACAAGAAATTTCTCATACAAATGATTTTTTTTACTAGGTACTTTCCGGCAAAGCACTTGGAAGAGCTAGTCCCACTGATGTACGGGGGCAGCTCGGCGAATGATTAAGCTGGAAATATGATTAGACCATAAAACACAGTTTGTGCTATGGCACATGGCACAATGTTTCACTTTGATCAATGCTGCAGCACAGACAGTTATTATAGCTCCAATCTATATTTTTTTTCCAGCTTAGTCATTCGAAAGTAAGATCGAAAGACTAACACACTGCTGGAAAAAGTGCGTTCGTCCCCTCGTATGTTCACGTTCCTTGTTTCATGGTTCGAACTAAGCTGTTCTTATCGACTAATTCCAATAATTATAATACTTTTGAGATTCTAATAATGATTGCGATGATGAGATTCTCGGAACTCGCCGCTTCCTGCATTGCTCAAGCTGTCAATGAACGAGTATGCTTTGATTGCACTTGAACTAATGATGGAACGCTGTGTAGTAATGTATCTTTCGTTTCTTTTTTCCTCCTTTTATGTCAAGGACTCCCGGAAGCCAGTTAGAGCTCAGCGAGTTCAAGGTCCAGCAAATGAGGGGAGTGACCGTTGCCATCCACGGCTTGGGGCTTTTGAGCAGAGTCTTCAACAAGGTGTCGGCTGAGCTCACCAACCTATTCGAAGAACAGATCAAGAATGCCATCGAGAGGAACATTCGCGAAGCCATGGCCGAACAGATCAGAAAACTTAACGACATTTCTTTCCTTTAGATTGCCGCTTGCTACGCTACCCCTCTCTAAAACAAGCGAAATTTTATTAAGTCTCATTTTGCTATTGAAGTCCGTTTCAGAAACGGAGCGCCTAAAAAAATATATGCAGGGTAAGATGTTTACGAAAAAAAAGGCAGTTTGATTTTTTAGTTCCATATTCCAGGGGAAAAAAATAAACTGTCGAATGGTGAAAACAACATGCTCTCCCTGTAGGGCTCGTTAAAATATTACGCGCTGGAGGAAGACAGCCATGTGCTTTAAGTGCATTATTTCGAACTCCTTTTGTTCACGTCCCGCCAATTAAGAAACGTGGAGAAAGAGCACAAGTATGCACCTGATCTTGATACATCACAATACCCTTGTTGTTGTTGCTTATATTGTAATAAGATATATGAAATAGAACGAAAGAAAAATATAATCCAAAAAAGAAAAGGAAGGCGTATAGGACGAAATGTTAGTCTTCCCAAGTTAGGGGCAGCTTTTTCGTCCTGTAGAGAAAGGGGTCGAAAAAACGATTTAGGTGGAGTGGGTTAAAAGAAGAAGGGAAGACTGTTCATTTAGGTTGAGAGTCTAGAACACAATCCTGCTGCATCCACGAAGTCCACAACCGCCTGGAATGCAGCGGATCGTCGGTCCTCGGTGCCTGTCTGGAACAGGATTTTTCGCCCTGTGTTGGCATTAATGTCAGGCTGGCCGAAAGTTTCAAGTAATTCTTTTCCGGGATGCGCATACGCCGGACAGGCTCAGAAGATATGCCCTATGTCCTCGGGTTGGTCGCACGAGCTGAAATTATCTGTGTGTTTTTGCGAGCTGGTGCCAATTAGTGTTGGTGTTTGAGTAGCCTGTACTCAATCTATGTAGCTCAGATTCTTGTCTACAGCTAATTGTTTTCTTTTGTATCAGAAATGGTGGAAACCCAGCTGCCGTCTCTGCATCGGGGTGTTTTAGAACGCAGCTCTCAGGCGCCCGTTTCTGGCTTGAGCGGCGGCGCCGTTAACGTCGCCGTCGGCGTCGGTGCAACCGCGCGCGTTGAATTAAGAAAATAATGCAACCGGGCGTGACCACGCGTTGCATTATGGGAAACCTTCCCTGCTAAAATTAGCGGAAAATTTTTCCGCTAAATTTAGTGGTAACATTTCCCCCTAAGTTTAGCAGAAAATATTCCCCGTTAAATTTATCGGAAAAAGTTTTCGCACTAGATTAATTGGAAGCAATTTCACGCTAAATTTACCGGAAAAATCTTCCCGCTAGATTGAGCGGAAAAATTTCCCCGCCAAATAAACAAAAAAGTTTTCCCACTAAATTGAGGAGAAAAATTTCCCCGCTAAATCTAGTGTAAAAAAATCCTCCTAAATTTAAAAAAAGCCCCCCCCCCCCCCAAAAAAAAAAAAAGGAAAAAAAATAGCGGGAAAAGTTTCCCACTGCATTAAGCGGAAATATTTCCCCACTAAATCTAGCGGGAAAATTTCCCCGCTAAATGGGAGGGGAGCAGGAGACGAGAAGTGGAGGGTACGGAGGGGGACAAGGGGCACGCCCTCGTCTTTGTACCCTCCCCTCCTCCTCCTCAAGAGCTGCGCTCTAATTCGGTATTACAGAGATTTGTAACCATCTTTCATTTTTTGTTTTGCTTGGCAGATTATGATGAGTGTGGAATTGTACTGACGAACGGAAAGTGTCAAGCAAGTATCTGTGTAAACGTCATCATATTTGCGTAGGTGCTGATTGTCCCGTTGCCAATAAAATGAGCCATCATCTCTGCGACTCCTTTTCAGTCGAGGAAGGTCGGCTATTTATGTCGCTATTCCGAGGTGGTTGCCCTCTCGATGTGGAGGTGGGACGGGCGGTACGTTCTCAGGACAGCCGATGATGTCCAGGAAGGTCTGCACCATCTTGCCGACGTTTGAAGAACGCCTCGCAATAACCGCTCTTAGCAGGTCCTTTGCAGACTCCGTGCCAAGAAGCCTAGATATCTGGCGCCTGGCCTTCTCTTCTGCCTGGTGTTGAAGGGGAGAATCTCCCGCCTCAACCGGTGTGGGAATTTTCTTTGATGCAGCCGGTATTCCCCCAAGACATATCCGGATCGCTTTCCTGTGAAATGTTTTCAGAATCGTCCATTGACGTTGTTGGATATTTAGAAGAGGTAGATATACATGACCCTCTTAACTATTTGACCCGGTAAAGTGTCATCATATCTCTGCTAGGTGGAACCCCAGTTTTGATCGGCTATTCGGCACAGCGCTCCAAGTAACTTGCGCGCTTCTTTTAGCATTTATTGCACCGCTGGTCGCCAGTTAACTCGATCATCGATCAATGACTACAAAGAAGAAGACATGTGGTCTTGTTCTGATCCGGTTACCATCAATCTGCAGAGTAGAATATTTTCCCTTCAACCGACCCCGTGATCGATATTTAAGAACAGATTTTTTTTTTCGCTTAATAAGGCAAGGATTGTATGATAAAAAGAAAATAGGTAGCAACATTCAGGGCTTGTTGTAGATTGGCTTGTAGGGCCATGGAGATGAGCGTGGAGCCTGCGCATCACAAGGTTACTTAGTCTGCATAAATAGCCCAATTGACAGGAACGGCTTCGCATTGTGGGAGAACTAAGGAAAACCATGAAAACAACCGTGTTAAATAGTAACGGAGCGAGCACACTTCCTTGCGGTACATCTTGGGTAACAGCGCGCGGCGTTCTTTTGTGTCCGCCCATTCGTACTTGAAATGTTCTACTACGTAGGAAGGATCGAACGAATCGTAAGGATCGTCCTCTGACCCCGATAAGCTCAAGGTGCTTAAGAATGACACTATGTGGAGGTGCATTCAAGGCGCGGTATATGTCGAGAAAGACTACGTGGACAAGCTTTTATTAACCTGATCAATGCAGTGTAGCTTTCCTTTTTAGCATTTTTGTCGTTATTGAAATTTTTTAGATTTTAATATTGCGCGTTGTTTTGAACTATCTATTTATATTGTTGGTTGCTGGCTTGTTCTGTTTGCGTGAGTTTCCAACTTATAAATGTGATTTGTAACCCACTCCTCTGCTGGAATGCCCCGGCACTGCAGAGTACAAATAAATAAATAAACAAATAATCACTCTGTACAAGTGTATTGATGCCGAAGTTTAAGAGGCACTTTATTATAAACAGCTGTCTTATAGTAGCAGCGAAACACAAAGTAACGACAAACCAACATAAAAGTAAAGTCCGTTAGTTATGGCAAGTAACGACACCGGCATAACGTTAGATTTGCAAAATAGTAACGGAGCTCTGTAACACCTTAGCTTCTTTACAAGCTAACGAGTAAGGCCATTTCGTTAATTATTTTTCGGTAACGGGCACAACAGTGCTCGTGCATGATTTAATATCCTTGTCAGAGGGAACCTAAAATGTCATTTCCATCATACCAAATTAGGTGAGTGGCGAATCAGCTTTAAATTTGAGTATAGGCCACATGACGTAAGCTCACGTGACGTCAATTTTTCTGCTAAATCCCGATCGAAAAGACCATCAGGTTTTCCTGAAAGACCACCAGAGTTTCTTGCTGGTCCATCAGACTTTTCTGATGGTCCATCAGGTTTCCTGATGGACCATCAAAGAAGTCTGATGAACCATCAGCCCACTCCTGATGGACCATCATATCTAGCTGGGAAAGTGAATTTGTTTAGGTCACGTGACACGAAGTCTTGTTGCGTCATTTTTCCCGCTAAATTTAGCCGGGAGCACTGAATTGGTGTTGAGATCACATGATGTAAATTTTCCCGCTTAATCGGTCAGGGAAGCTGAAGCCACGTGACGTCAGAGCCCCCCGCTTCACAAAATGCACCTTCACTAAATGCGAAGAAAGGTAAAAACCACAGGCGAGCTGGTGAATGATATCCATAGTAACCCTGGGACGTAGAAAAAATAAAAAAAAAACGGACAGTACAACGAAGTCTCTAACACAGCTTGAAAATTTATTTAACAACCATCATCGTATATACCATGTCACCGACCTCCAACACAATTCAAAAGACCTCCACGCCCACTTCACAGTGTACCCTCGCCCTGAACATATACCGACAAACGCACACAAAAGCAAACACGCCCGAAACGCAAAGGGACACTAACTCGAAAAGGGAATACAAGAACATCCGCTCTAGGTCAAGGTCAGACGGAACCCAACAACACTTACGAACTCCTTTGTTCCCTATTAAAAGACAAACAAGGTTGCCCGAAAAAGAAACCACAAAAAACCACAACTAAAGCAAGAGAAGAACCCGAACCGCGAAACAATTAATCCATCACTTAATAATATATATATATAAGCCCAGACACTTTTTTGTTCCCTTATCAAGGGATAATGAAGGTTGACTGATACAGTTCCCGAAGATTAAAAAACGCAAAGCTTTTTAAAACTCTCTTATGACTCATCAGCAGCTCAGTCTGTTCCGTGGAATAATATAAATCCTTATTTTCTAAAGCTAAAACACTGCAAGGCTTCCCGTGATAAGGCGCTAACAACTGAATCAACTGCTCAGAATTTCTTAAAGACAAATAATTATCAATTTCTACTCCTCCGAGACACTTCTGCACAAAAACAGACAGGACCTTCTACCAGGTACCGTTTTCCGGCTTATGGTCCTTTAGCAGGAACTTCATCCTTAGAGTTGACTGCGCCACCTTCCCCAAACCCTTCACCACGTAAGGAAAGTCACACTCATTTAACACTGCACATACTCTTCGCTGGGCCTTTTTTAAATCACCAGCAAAAGGCTGAAAAAGTTTAGTGATCGCTAGATCAGCTTTCAAAACTGAACATTCCATTCCTACGTAGGACAGACTGGTCGGTGTTTAAACGATCGTATAATAGAGCACAAAAGGGCAGTTAAAAATAATGCACCGAACTCTGAAATTGCTAAACATGTAGTTGAAAGGCAGTTAAAAATAATGCACCGAACTCTGAAATTGCTAAACATGTAGTCGAATGTAACAACTGTGTACCAGGGTCTGTGTGTGTGAGGGGGGGTGGGGCACTAAAGTCTTACATAGAGAGAAGAATAGCCATAGGAAACTTTGCATATTTTAAGCTTCGGGAACTGCATCAGTCAACCTTCAATACCCACTAATGAGGGAACAAAGAAGTTTCTAGGTTTATAATTTAGTTTTTTGGTTAAGTGATGGGCCAATTGTTTCGCGGTTTGGTTTCTTCTCTGCCTTTGGGTGTGGTTTTTTGGGGTTTCTTTTTCGGGCAACCTTGTGTGTCTTTTGGAAGGGGAACAAAAGAGTTCGTAAGTGTTGTTGGGTTAAGCTTGACCTTGCCAAGTGCGGAAGTTCCTGCAGGCCCTTTTCGAGTTAGTGTCCCTTTGTGTTTCGGGCGTGTTTGCTTTTGTGTGCGTTTGTCGGTATATGTTGAGGGCGAGGGGACTCTGTGAAGTCTGCAAGGAGGTCTTTTGAATTGTGTTGGAGGTCGGTGACATGTATATAAGACGATGGTTGTTAAATACATTTTCAAGCTGTGTTAGAGACTTCGTTGAACTGTCCGTTTTTTTTTTTTGTTTTTTTTTAATTTTTTTACGTCTATGTTACTCTGGATTTCACTAAATGCGGCTTCACGAAATCTGGAGAAAATAGCCAAAGAATGTTTGATGTTACAACAGGCTTCAGACACTCAAACCGTAGCCAGAACAAGCGCCCACATATAACCTGGTCCCGATTATACGCCGCCAATATCCCTCCTATACTTCGTTTCAGCTTCGGTCCAGACGCAGCCAAAGCTACAAGCGCGAGCTCCGGGCTTTCAGCATCCCTGCCAAGCACGCGCGCTCGTGCAGTGCAAGCATTGTTCTGAGCCACATGCTCGCGCTTGTAGCATCGGCTGCGTCTGGACCGAAGCTGAAACGAAGTATAGTCCCGCCACAGTGCCCGCGCTGGGGCTGGCAAAGCCCCAGCGCCACGTGCTCAAACCAACTCATTGTTAGGATTCGGCAGTTTCCGTCATTGCAGCGCTTGAACGTGCGCCACTACCCGAATGTCCGCCGAGGCACTAATTGTCTCGAGCCCAAATCGAGTGCTCACGCAGTGCTTGTGTCCAATTCCTGTGGGCCGTATTTGAATTTCGTCGTATTCTGAAAATCACCACACGGCAATGCGACCGTCATGTATGCGCGGAAAAGGTAACGTTATAGTAGCTACACTGTTAGCAAGTCCCGTGTATTTGGCGAATATTTGGGGTGAAAAACACGCTATTTACACAAATTACCATAAATTTACACGATGAGTAACGGATAATTCGTTCAGAAATCATGCGAGGTTGTAAAAAACGTGTTTTGGTTCGGTCATACACGCATAACCGTGTAGCCGACCTCGATAACACGCATCGCCCCCGGCGACGACCGCGGCATTGCCGGCTATCGAAGCACCGGAATGCTTGGGGACACAATTAGAAAGGACCGTCGAGACAAATGCCGCGGAAAGAAACATGTCTCGGAGACAGATATGCACCAAAAGCAATTGCGCCATGTCGCAGGACGTTGGCGAAACCCGCGCTTACCGTGCTCGCCGCCATCTTCTGGTCGATGGCAATGCGGCTTCCCTCACGTCGCCCATGTTTGTATTTAGTTTAGGGGTCATGATAACAGTTTCTTAGACACCACAAATAAAGTCATGGGTCTAATTATTCGTTCCAACCAGTTAAAATGGATATAAAAAGCGTGTCCTCGATGTGAACACGTGACACTGCAGTTGGTTTCGTTTTTGCTTCAACCTTCAACTGCAAGCGGTCTGGCCACGGCGCAAGCGCAACGCCGATGTACGCTGGAAGCAAGCGCCGGTTGGCTTTCGTTGTTTTTGTTTGACCGGAGAAAATCTGGCAAGTACGCATGGCGCCGCTACTGTTTTGGTTTGACGGGACGCGAGAAGCTTCGCATAGAGCTTCGGAGTTTGCGAGCACATAGTGAAGACGTGACCGGAGAAGTGCCCCTGTGATGTTCCTGGAAGACGGAAAGTAGCATTCGTAATCGTCGTGTGTGCTTTGAAAGCGAAGGGAGTCACAGGGTCCACGAGTTCGCAACCACAAGCCAAGGTTCACGACTGCGCAGCGTTGACTTCGGCGATCTCGTTCTGTTTGGTGCAACCCGGTGATGCGAAAAAGAGCTGAAACGTTCGTCGTGTGTGGTGCGGTGCTTTGTATTCCGGGTCTGTTTGAACCACGCTTTTAACACGGAGCGCAAATTGTTTGTTGCGTGGTGGAGGTTCAACGGGTACAGTCCCGTCGTCGTCAGCTGATACGGTCCAGCTGGTCCGGGAGGACGCAGCGAGCGTTTGTAAAAGTAAATCTTCCTTCGTTCCGTTTCAAACTGTGGACGTATCCCGACACATACCGTGAGTAAGAAGCAGCAGGCGTTTTCAACAAAATTACGTTGTTTTAATTGAATAATGGACTCCGGATTGTTGTCTTAAATTTGCCGTTTTTTATGCTTCGTGTTGGACTGCGTTTGCATAGCGACTCACACACCGCTCGAGTAGATGATTCGGTCCTGCAACGAGTTTGTTGCGCCAATCATGCGGCGTGAATAAATTAGGGCAAGGTTTCCTACCTGCCCACAGATGCATGTACTGAGACCATTTTTTATGTTGTGAACGTAGTGCTCTTTCTTTATTTTGGAAGACGCGTTGGTGCATTTATTATGGTACAATCACTTGAGAGTTGAGAAATTGGAGAGCGAGCAAGCTTTCTCAACTTTGTCTCTTTCTCTCTGGCACTGCCCTGTTTCAGTTTCAGTAGGCATATCTACTGGCAGGTACAAACTTTTCTAAAGCAGGTAAAAAACGGGAAGCTTAGGACGGTGCGGACTCCGTGTGTTTCGCGCTTTTCGCAAGGTGACAGGGTAAATGCTTTTGTGAGATATGCGGAATATGCAAGCGATTTTGTTATGCCCGTCGTTTGCGTCTCTCCGGCAAAACGAATAAGATGATCTACTACAAAGGCGCAATCACAAGCCAAGATTTAAGATAGCAGTGCGTTTGCTTCGGTGATCCGCGTAGCTGTATTTTACCCTGCACTCTGCAACACCGTGTCATGACGAAGAGCTGGAACGGTCACGGTTTGTGCTGGCCTCCCG